TTCATCACTTCCATTCAATGAGAGATGATTGTTAAGTGCAAGGTAATTTAGTCGACTATTAAAATATAAATATTTCTAAATTACAGCTATATCCATTCTTGCACAGAGTGTCTTAATCCAAACAACATCCTGTATTTCTCTAGGATTGATGCTGACCCCATTTGTACAGCACTGATGCCTGAATCGCAGATCAGACGCTATTGATGTGAAGTGATTTGAGTCAATTTGTAGATGGATGTCTGAGCCTAGTTCTGAGGATACTGGATTCCTGCCTCCTAAGAAATTAAGGACCGAAAGCCACAGAAAGGCCGAAGACTGGGAATTGACTGTGCCAAGATTGTATGATGTTGCTGACTCGCACTTGAGAGCCTAGAGAAGGTGACATATGTTTAGCCTAATATAATACCTTCAAGTAAAGTCTGAGAAATGACTCAACCCTCATTCTGCATAAATGTAGGCATGGGCTACTCAACCTATATGCGTGCCTGTGTGACCATGGTTAATAATAGCCATACATAAGTGTATGTATCTTGTTTTTCCGCATTTATTTCTCTTCCTCCCTAGAATTGTCCATCTAGGCCATGTGGCTGGGCTTTAAGAGCGTAATATTTTATATTTCACATATTTTGTGTACCTAAAACGGTTAATCTTTGGCATTGTTTTGTTCTTCTTTAGGATGTGGCGACAGAACTTGAAAACATCTTCCATGACGGCTGATCCGCGAAAAAGCACTTGAAAGGAATTGGGATGAGGATATGGATGGAGTTGTGAGCACGCCATTCTGCGTTTGATTTCCAATCCCCACGAGATTAACAAGTGTATACAAAGTTCAATAGTCATAACTGTGCTCAAGCTGATGCTTTGTGATCATCTCCTTCCTGTATGAGAATGCTTAACATTGACTGCTGAATGACATTGCAGCCTTTAATAATACTTCCGTATTGAGGGAGAATGGAAACCCAACGATCGCAGGCAACGCCGAGCGAACCCTCCCCTGCCAACCTCTGTCTGGTGTATGCCTCGTTGTGGTGTGTGGTTCGCCCGAAGCTATAGACTAAGGAGGCCTGCCTGGGATCTCTACCCCTTGGAGTTGACAATCCTGAATATCAGCCCTGATTCAAACGATGTCTCTACAAAGTTTGATCGCAGCACATTGGTAATTTCTCATAGGGTCTCCTATGTGATCTTTCTTGAGGACCCAGTAGACTGCGGAGCACTCCCACCTCCATCGAGCTTTTGAATATAATTGTGTGATAGTGTTTTTTTTTTCTCTCTCGTGAGTGAGTGGGTTGAATAGTGACTCCAGCCTACGAGAGAGAGAGATAAGATCCACGTCATTCTGTTCCACGTCTTATGGTGGTGTCTTGTATTATCCCAAGGGTGCAAGCAAATTCTCGAGTTACATCATATTCGCTCCAGAATTGCTCTTTCGTGTGCACAACGCTTTTGTTTGTATTCGCAGCATTATCGTGCAGTGACTGGTAGACGGCGCAGTATACAATCATGTCCATTGCGATATGAGACATTGATGTGAGCGCTCGACAAAAGATCGGTCTATGTGGCGTGTCCTAGTACTCCACATCGCCTTAGTCCTAGGATCATTTTTTCTGGTCTGTCTCATTTTGGTCATACTATTGACAAAAAGCTAACGTGCCAGTATATATCCAATATGATACGATTTAATTAATTCCATTACTTGTCACCAATCAGGTGTCCAGGGCTAACTCCGAACATAGAGAGGAGCGAACTAATTGAAGCAAATGAGCAATCGTATGTTACTGGCTTGTGTCAAACAGACAAAGCACAAGGCGCTATGCGAGCAAGAAAAAGGCGTAACATACAGACACCCGAAGCCTGAGTTGAAGAAGACGATGATGTCGATGATGCGATGGAGACGAAGACCGGTGGATAGGGAGACACCCCGAAGGGAAGACATGGAGGAGGCACTTTTCAAAAGGTTGACGGAGGAAGCAATGAGAAAGATGAGCTTTGAGGAGGTGCCAGAGTATCGTCCTCACCTCTAATACCGATCCACATTTAAGCATAGAATCCAGTTCTTTATTTCCCAGGGAAGTATGTGAGTGCCTTGCAGCTGGACAATCCCTTTGAATCTGTCGCTCCTGAAAGAGCCTGGACACAATCGCACTAACATTATGGAGAGGGTGTGCAAATATGTAACGTGATGAGTAGGAGGGGGTAAGGGTCAAAGTTGGATTGTTATTTAATGGTATGCTTTTATGAGGTAGATTGCACTAGCTTGTGCGAAGATGGTTTCTCGTGTCCATGTAACTTGAATATTTTTGGCTGTTTTTCGTCTCCCAAGGACCTTGCTGGGTTGATTCTTTTTCCAATGTTACTATAATATGTGCATTCCTAATATATATTTTTCTGTAATAACCTAACTGGATGAAGTACACACTCGATGTGAGGACTGAGAAATAGTCCTACAGTCTAATTCTATTACGATCTGCTTTGTATTTTCTTGCTTCACGTCTTGCAGCGCCACAACGCACATAAAATCTTATTAGATTTGCATAGCACCTTTTCCTGTCGGAATAGGTCAGAATAGCCATAGCTAGTTTATCGTACAAAAGTCAGTTGATGGTAGAACCATTCTTTAATATTTATCATCATTCACATTTCCTAGAGATTGCTCAGCAAAAGGTCTATCTTGACTTGGAGTGGGTCGTTTCCTGATTTTAATCCTCACCATTGACCTCATTCCTCGAAAGGAAAATATAATTTCTGGCGCGTCGCTGAAAACATAAAAATGTACACCAATAAGTTGGAGAAGTACATAACATATTGCACAAAACGTAATGACAAAGCACCAACTGTCCATCACAGATACAGAATAATGTTTCGATATAGATCTCTGACATATAATAATGTGATAATTTATTTGCGTTCATTGTCTTTTGTGCGCACTAGAGATGTTGTTTATTTATTCTCCTTTATCCTCACCCACATACCTTTTACGAAGGGATTAAATTTCAGAATAGAAGTGTTATTAGACCTCAGAGGGAATTAAGAAATACGACTTCATTCCCAGCCACCTCACCAATCCGCAACAACACTGCCAAGTAATAATTGTTTTCTTCTCATCAAGCCATTCAGTATAGTATGAAATGCTAATGTAGGTCCTCGAATACCATAGATGTCCATTCTAATGGTAACATGGAATGGTCCTGCCAAACAATTTCAACCTCCAGTGGAGGCTCTTCCTCTGACCTCCCTGTATCTGTCATAATTCAACAAATCCTACCTTATGTCAAAGTTCGCCTTAGAGAATAGAAACCTAGAACCTGGTGAAGCTCTGCTGTGTATTGAATCATGCACCAATCACACCTTAGAAGAGCGGGTCTATATAAACTATACCATTTTGAATCATAGATTTATTGGCTCGCAGGGATTGGTATTTATTGAATTATCTTCGTGAGAGATAAGAAAAGATAGTGTTTATTAAATGCAGCAATTAATCACTCAAACGTGTATAGACTGTGGCTCTGGTTCCTCAGATTTATTGTGCTTTACACTTTAGACTATATATTTGAATATCAGATAATCTAGTCTCCTGTCAATTACACAACGCAATATTGCTTAAACATGTAGAGATGGAGGTGGTAAATACTGCTATATGCACCTATAACAACGTACCCCGCAAACATTTGTTATAGGATAACGAGTTTACATTTGTTACTACCTACATACAGTCACACGCCACTCTTCTAAGAAACACTCTGCCAAGAAACAACACATATGTTACCCGCAACTGGCAGCAGCGACAAAGAAAAAAAGACCTGCATACAGATGACTAGAATAGTTCCTCCGCCAAAACCTGGTAGGCCAAAGAATAACAGTCCAGTTAATATTGTATCAGTGTGAATGGGAGGTTATACCGTCATATCTCCATAGCATAATGGTCTCTTAACTTGCCATGCGTAATTTTTCTACGATATAATTTTTTTCTTCCTTGCCCCTAAGGGGGAGAAGATACATGGTGCAGGGCTTTTTGTCTACATGAACCAATGTGGCCCTTGGTCTGAATCTCCACATTGCTACAGCTGGGCACTGGGGAGGGTGAGGGGTAAGAATCAGTAAGCCGCATGGGGTGGTGGAGCTGTTTGTTTCGTCATAGATAGAGTGATCAGGGTTTTAGTTCAGCTGTGAATTGCAAGAGTTCCCCAATGTAAATAAAGAGGTAAGAAAAACAGGAAACTGAAAAGGAAGAAACACCATAATTAAAAATATTGCTTCCATTTTCTGAAGATTTCCTGCGGATTCTTTCTTTCTCTACTCTCATAGCGCTTGTAGTTTCCCTCCTGGGAGAAAACTTTCATGGGCCCTCTGCTAACTTCAGGTTTACGACAGGTCAAGTTTGCCTCCCGTGGTAAATCTGATTAAACACTGGTTTAATACAGGGAATATTGCAGCCGTATAAGAGAAATATGATTTTAAATTTGATTTCAAGACAATGCTAAAGATTTGGATAACAATCAGTTAATATTATGATACAGTAGTGCATCATTCTACAATAATTGCAATAAAATCAGATTACGACTGGCCAGTCAACCCCCTGAAAAAAGCATCTGGGGTCCTGTTGGCCTCCTATCTATCTATCTATCTATCTATCTAATCTATCTATCCTAATCTATCTTTATCTCTCTCCTCTCTGTCTATCTGTCCTATCTAATCATCTATCTCTTCCTCTCCTCTCTCCCCTCTATCATATCTAATTATCTATTTACCTCTACTATCTACTCTATCTCCTCCTCTCTCTCTCCCCTCTCTAATCTCTATCTCTAATTCTATCTCTATAATTCTATCTCTATCTCCTCTCTATCTATCTATCTATTTATCTACTCTATCTATCTCTCTATCTAATCATACTTCTAGATCTCTCCCTCTATCTCTCTACTCTCTCCTCTCCTCTCCTTCATCGCGTCTCCTCTCTCTCGCGTATCTCTCTCCTCTCTCTCTCTCTCTGTCTATCTGTCTATCTATATCTATCTATCTCATCTCCTCCTTCGTCTCTCTCTCCCTCTCTAGATCTCTCTCTCTCTCCTCCGCCTCTCTATCTATGCTATCTATCCTATCTATCTCTCCTATCTATCTATTACTTCTCTCTATCTCTATAATCCTCTCTCTTCTTCTCTCTATCATAATATCTCTCCTCCTCTTCCGTCTCTTCTTCGCCAGTTCTGTCTATCTTGTCCTCTCTATTCATATCTACTCTATCTATCCTCTATCTCGTTCTCTTCTTCTCTCTATCCTCTCATCATCCTATCATCTATCTACTTCTCCTCTATCTATCTCTCTCCTATCTTCTATCTCGCTCCTATCTCTTCTCTCTCTTTAATCCTATCTATCTATCTATCTATTCTATCCCCTATCTATCTTCTATCTACTCTCTCTCTCTCTCCATCTCTCTATCTCTATCTCTCTCTGCTCCTCTCCTCTTAATCTCTCTCTCTCTCTCTCTCTCTCTCTCATCTCTATCTATCTATCTATCTATCTCTCTATCTCCTAACTCTCTCTCCTCCTCTCTTCTTTCTCTTCTCTCTCTCCTCTATCTACTCTAGGATTAGAACAATACATTTTCACATCTGTTATCTCAGTATCATTGCTCGGCTCACAGTTGGCCGACTCCCCGGTGCTCCTGCATAAAGTGACCGGGCGGGCACGGAAACACCAACCGGAACCAGGGTGTCGCCGCTCGTGCCCGCTCGGTTAAGGGGCGTGTGCGCACTCCCGAGACACCAGGAAATATGGCGGCGCTGATGACTCTCAGTCAGGTAACGACTCTCAATAGCTGAAGAATAAGTCTCCAATTTAAACACCGGTCATGATGAAGTGACAGTGACAGTCTCACCACTTCACTGCTTTATAAGCTGTGGTGAATATTGGCCAGTGGAACCGTGTTTTTTAGCAGAAACCTTTCGTTGTGAGCGAAGTTAACGTGGTTCACTAAGCTAGATTAAAGGATAGCAAAGTTATTGTACGTTTAAATGGAAGAAGGGCTGCTATTGACGGGAACCTAGAAGCAGAGGTGTTACTAGTTAACAATGTGTCTAACTAGTACGTTAACGATCAAAAGCTGTGTTTTATCTACTATAAACATAAACGCTGACCTGTTACGGGCTGATGTATGTACCGTGTCCCAGCGGTAAAAGCCATTTTGTATGCTCTCTAACAGCGTAGCTAATTTAATGCATGTCCCAGATAGACACACTCTCGTTTGTAACATAGCTGGTGTTGCATTTCTCTCCTGTCTGCAGTTATCAAGCGGAACCCCAGCCTATGAGAACTACTACAGGCAGGTAAGGTCGGGGTTGCTGCTGTGATTCCCACTCCAGCTCTTCTGTTTCTACTCATTCAGCTGAATAGTATCTGTCACATAAAACCATCCATATGCTGCATCCACTTTGTGCTTTGTTTGTTAATTCTTTGTAGCTGGATCCGGGGAACACAGGCAGAATATCAGCTGGAGATGCAGCTCAGTTCCTTAAGAAGTCAGGGCTGTCAGACAGTACACTGGGGAAGGTGGATCAAAGACTCATGTACACACACATTAAAACAGTCTTATATATCCAGTTAATGGCATCTAAACTGTTTTTTTCCCCCCTTCAAATTGTTTTTTAGATTTGGGATTTGGCAGATTCTGAAAGAAGAGGCTATTTGGACAAGCGGGTAACGTTACATTTCCGTGTAAATTGGCTGTTGTTGGTAATGCTGATGTGTGCAACAACAAAAAAACGGATTTTCCTGGCTTTCTTCCTCTTTCGTAGGGTTTCTTCATAGCGTTGAGACTGGTGGCGTCAGCCCAGTGTGGAAATGATATTAGCCTCAACAACCTCAACCAAAACTTAGCTGCACCCAAATTTGTAAGTGGTGAAGTGACTCTACTGACAATTACAATAGGGAAGACAGTGGGTGGAGAAAAACTCCATCTGTAGCTCAAATGAGAAATTAATGGACATTGAACACATCCCTAACTGTGTTTCCCCCTGTCCATACAGTTGTTACTATACTCTGTTTGTTTGTATCTCATCCTCTGTTAATCTTTTACAGAAAGACACTAGCAGCCCATTGTTAAATGTTTCAACGACAGGACCTGACTCACAGTGGGGAATTAGGGTGAGTTGATAAGAACATTATTGAGGATATAAGAAAATCAAGCTTGTCGCCTAAACTTGAGTTTTTTTCCTTCCGCAGCCTGATGAAAAAGGAAAGTTTGAGGGCATATTTGAGAGTCTGTCCCCTGTGAATGGTCTCCTACCCGGTGATAAAGTCAGGCCAGTTTTGATCAACTCCAAGCTACCTCTGGATGTGTTAGGAAAGGTGATGATATTACATGTTAAAGTGATGTAGCACATAACACTTTTACACACTCTTCCCTGACTTTCCAATGTTAACAATTCAAAGTAACTAAATCTTGTTCATGTTGGCATTTACTTAATGATTCTGTAGATTTGGGACCTGAGTGATGTTGACAAAGATGGACAGTTGGACAAAGATGAATTCACAGTGGTAAGCTGGTGCATCTGTTTACTTAAAGCTGTACTATCACTCCAGGGTAATTCTGGAAAAGCGAATACTTGATTGTTAAAAAATGTTTTAATAAATCAATAAATGATCTGATTTCCCATTGTCTAGGCCATGCATCTTGTGTATCGTGCAATGGAGAAGGAGCCTGTTCCAACCACCTTACCTACTTCCCTCATCCCCCCTTCTAAAAGGAAGAAGTTTGCAGGTGCCCTGCCAGGTGCCGTGGCTGTGCTGCCTGCTCTGTCCGGGCTTATGGCTGGCACAGCTCCTCTTAAGGAGTCCTTGCGAAGCACTCCTCCTCTGGGCAGCACTAACCTCCTCGCCACCAGTACCGTCAACCTTTCTCCAAAACACTCCTTTAAATCCAGCTCACCGGTATGTCGCATCACATGTGTTTCTCTTGAGGTGTTGATGTAGGTGTAGTGACTGCATTGCTATAATGCTAATGTTAGAACCTATGAAATGTCGCACATAAAATCAAACCTTTCAACCTTGTAAATTAGTCTCAGACTTCTCCCCCGTACCCATGTTGACTGCTGACATGTCTAACATAGACACAGACATAGCCAGACCTACATATCCACACTTGAGCATGTTGGAGGAGGAGCAAGTGTGTGAAATTTTGCAAAAATAGAACAAGGTGAGCATTTTTTTTTTTTCAAACAAGTGACACTTAGCTTAGCCCGTTCACTGACGCATGGAGCAGGTTATGATATCTTCATTGGGAAAGCATTCATCTCACATTACACAGTTTCAGCACTACTGCAGGTAGATTTCTGCAGCACTAACCCATAAGGAACATTCGCTTTAAAGATTTATAATTGAACATGTGAAGCTTTCACTTAAAAATATTAAAGAGCGAGCCGTTATATGTGATCAAAATAATATAAATCATATTATATTTATATATATTTATGTCATTTATTCTGTCAAGTTAGCTCAAGTCTGACCTTATAGGTTTAATGCACTCAGTCCACATGTTCCAAATATTAAAGGTGTCTTTCTGGACTTTGCAGGAAAATTACAGCCTGTCCATAATATTTATTACATGTATAATCCTTGAGACAGCCTTTGTACTTGCTGCCAGATGTAATTGTACCAGTGTTATATGAGATGGTAATCATGTATACAGTATCACATCTCAGAGGAATATCAACTGCCAATGGGGCACAAAAAAAATTTGCTCAGAATAATTCATTTAAACAACACAATTTTGTGAGATTATAACATAATATGATCATATTTCCACATATAATTCTGAAAGTTGATAAAAGGTAATATTGAATTTGTTTAGAAAATAAAATAAAAATGCATGCTTTATATATTGCTCCCAGTGCAGTGTCATGTACTTCAGGGTAATCTTGGGAGACATTACGATGTCCGATTGTGGCTGTAAAGTGAAACACAATCAACACTCATTTAGTTTTACTTGCTCCTCCCTAAGAAAGTATCACGAGGGCAGAGACTGACTTCTTAAAGAAACCAGCATTTCATGTATTGATTCTTTTCTTTTGCTAATGGGCGGACTTGTTTTGCCACATTGTTTTGAGCATTGTGCACAGCCCAGTGTGTTTCTCTCTGCCTTTTTATAGCTGCAGGGATTTTTCACCCGCGACTTTAAGAAAAACAGGTTTCCTTGAAAGGGAAGGGAAGCAAGACTCTGCTTACACTTGATCCTCATCACCTTATGTGGCTGTCATGACGCTTGTTGTGATATATTCTTTCTTATGCCACTTTCTCATTACCATTTTTTCCCATTCTTCTTAATTGTCAGACATAGGATTTCCTATGCAACTTACCCGAGGCAAAAAGTTCACCTGTCCATACCAGATTTCCTAGAACACAAATTTCAGATTTGACAAACAAATCATCATGAAGCCAATACATTTTCATCCAGGGTAGGACTCTTAGCTGTGTTTGCCTACACTTGTTGGTGTGTATATATACTAAACATTTTTCCTCATTGGTCACCAGGTACAGTCCCTTTTCAGTATAATACATAATTACCACCTGTTATTAAACACATTTTTTGTGTTGCTCTTAGCAGATGGTGTTTCCCTCATCTAAAATCACATAAATTATGTCTTTCCAGGCAGCGGTAAACTGGGTAGTACCGGTGGCCGACAGGGAGAGGTATGATGAACTCTTCAAGAAAACAGACACCGACAATGACGGCCTCGTTAATGGAACTGAGGTCATAGAGATCTTCATGCTGTCCAGTCTCTCCCAGACTATGCTGGCACAGATATGGTGAGACCACAGCTCACTTCAAAGCATATTGATTTACAGATGTTTTACTTATTACTTTACAACACACTTTTCACATATTAAGAGAATATTACAGTTGATAAGAAAGCTCAGTGCACTGCAACTTAAGAAAAAAACAAGCAAATTATGAAACACATTTACTAATTTGAGAGTTCATATGGCATATGCAGTTTTTTGTTTTTCAATAAAAAAAAAATGACCCCCCCATTGAACCAATCTTACAAGAGCTTTTCATCATACCTGAAGCACCTGAATAAGGCTGAATCAGTCATACCTATGCATAGCTACTCTCATTAGATTTAACTCTATAGCTCCACTTTGTGGACAGTTCAAGGTATTACACTTGTTTGTCATTTGAGCATATTGTTTTTGTTGTTGATGATGATGATTATGATGATGATGATTGTTGTTGTTATTATTATTATTATTATTATTATTATTATGAGAAAGAATACAGTATCTCATGTTTTGAGTGAAGTCTGTCCTCCTCCTCTCTGCAGGGGACTTGCTGATACTAAACAGACTGGCAAGCTAACCCGGGAGCAGTTCTCTCTGGCCATGTATCTGATCCAGCAGAAGACCACTAAAGGTGTAGACCCTCCATCCACACTAACCCCAGACATGATTCCCCCATCAGAAAGGACTGCAGCTTCAGCGGCGGGCCCTGTGAGTCCTGACTTTAGCCCACTGCTTCATCTTTCAGTAGCCCTATTTACTGTAATTCTTCTTATCTTCCAAAGCCAACTGTTTCACTCGCATCTGTGCCTCACAAGTCTTTTTCTTGCTACTATGTGCATTTTAAATAGTAAGTTCTGCTTTTCTGGCTTTCCAGCCTTGTCTTGCATAACAGTTTTTTATGCTTCTGCTTTTTTGAGTTCTCTTCTATCCTGTTTAACAGAGCTATGTGGGGCTTATGTCAGCTGTGAGACCTGAACTTGATGCATTTGCAAATATGCGCAGAGTGAGTAGTTGAGCTTTGTGTCACGAGGTGGCGCTTTTGTTCTGTCATATTCTCTGTCTCAGTCTGAAGCATTGGGTGTAAACAGGACCATGTTCCTGTATTATGTATTAGTTTCCAAGTTCATTCTCCCCAACAAAGGTGAACACAAGATTTCTTCGATCATGTTTATCCTTTACAACGTATTTTTCATGCCTTGGATTTTCCTCACATCTGTGTTTTATAGAACTCAACTGTGCTAAAAGCAAACACTGCCACCTACTGATAGTTCATCATCAATGCTTTGCCACAGCAACCAATGTTAAGGTCCGGCTATAATGTAGTTAGTTTATAATGTATGTAATTCTAGTAAAACATGTAGGTCTGAAAAAAGACAAATTATTACAAAGTTTTCTTGCTTTTTTCACATCATGATTATTTTGGATAATAAATTTGACTCCAAACTGGCAAGTACCAATATTAAATGACTCTACTTGAGCCTTCCACATCAAAGAGAGTCTGGTCTTTTGTGTTTATTATGAAGATTGATGCAAGAGTTTTCAAAGAAATACAGTACAAATACGTGTTCTTTTGTAACTCTTACACAAGTACTATCATTACAAACAAATAGCTCTTTCTGGTTCCCTTTTTGAGGTTGAACATGAAAGTTAAAAAAAGAAATTAAGGATGGAGAAAGTGTAGCGTATATAAAAGAAGAGGACATTGTTATTTTCTATTGCGACTTCTCAATTTGTTAAAAGGCTTGATATATTAAACATTGACATTTAAGCTGGATTTCACTGCACTGTTAAATTTGTTTGTATTCTCGTGTCCGTATTCATTTCTCCTCATTCATGTATTGTCTGGAACTCTTGCTCCCTCCCTAGCTGTGCAAGGTGTTTGTGTTTCCTTCCTGTGTCTTTTGTTTTGTTAGACATATCAGCAGGGAGCTCCCCTCTCCCCCCTACATACCATTCATGTCCCCTCTGCTCTCGCCCATCTCTCCCTCCTTCTTGTCCCCTTTCCCTAATTGAACATTTTTCATCTTATCCCATTTTTCACATCCTAATTTTTTACCTGCCGTTGTCACTCTCGTCCTATCTGTTCTCACGCCGTCTGTCACCCTTGCGTCCACGTTCCAGCGTACTGTCTTACCTCCGTTTCTCTCGCCTCTCTCACTCGTCTGTGTCTGTCTCTCGCCTCAGGACAGCACCAGCTCCACGGGGTCGGCCGAGCTGACGGGCATCAAAGAGCTGGATGACCTCAGCCAGGAAATCGCTCAGCTGCAGAGGTGAGCCCCTGCACTCTGAGTAGCAGGAGGACAGCTTTGTTTCTCTTCCTCTGAGAAAAAGGAGGGGAGGTTGCAGTGAAGTAATGTTTAGGATCAACGCTCTTTTAAACTATTAGATACATTTTGATCAATTAATGTTAGCCTTTATTTAACCAGATGCTCTTATTAGATTATCCGAGAGAGACCATGACGCCTTGCTTTAGGCTTATTTTAAAGTCTGACTCATCATTGACATGTGGACTAAAATAATTTGGTTACAATTAGAGGCAATACTTGGATTATTGCAGTTATGCTAATACATTCATTAGATTAAATACATACATTCTTACAGTGTCAATTTGAGTAAATGTAACACACTTTCCAGACCTGGAGACAATATATACAATTATTAGGGACGGCCTACACTGACTAAATATTACAGTTTACTTTTAGTGCTTCAAGTCTGCATATTGTGGTCATGGTCATGGAAAGAATACTGATCGAAGTGTTGCAACAACAGATCTGATTTTTTTTTCTGGGGTGTTTCCTCAATGTTTATTTCTCTGGAAGTCTTGCTGTCTCCACATCACGCTGAACTCACTTTGAACCTTTTTTTTTTGCACTTGCCTGCTCAAGTTTACCACATTCGGACAATTTATATAGTGTCAAGTAATTGAACATCAAGTGTTGCATGTCTTTAGTGTGATTTCAGTCTGTTTTTTCAAGCATATTAGAAAAACACCAGATACGTCATTGGACACAGTGCCATTGGGTTTGTTATGAAGTAATAACACTGTTGTTTACGAAGTCTTAGTCTTCTCCCATGTTGTTCACCTATAGAGAGAAATTCATTCTGGAGCAGGAGATCAGGGAAAAGGAAGAAGTCATCAGACATCAAAATAGTGAAGTTCAGGTAAGTCTGAGCTATAATAGTTTTCAAGTCTGAATAAATAAATAAAAATATCACTGAAGTCCATCTTAGTGCTTGGAAACAATATGAAGTTCAGGGGTTCAATTAGATGTTTTTATATGACTGATCTACAGCCTAAAAACACATAGTGTGTATATACAAAAAGCAAACTTAGGAATCCATTTAAACCATTTAACCAGTGTTGTACGTTTGTGGAGGGGTAGCAATCATTAGACATTGTGTACTCACTGGTCCCTTGCTGATCTTCACCCTTGACCCTCAGGACATGCAGAACGGCTTGGACAGGGAGAGCAGCAGCCTGCACGACCTGGAGTCACAGAAGCAGGATGCCCAGGAACGTCTGGAGGAGATGGACCAGCAGCGCTCCAAGCTAGAGGGAATGCTCAACGATGTCAAGCAGAAATGCCAGGAAGAGTCCCAGATGGTTAGAGACTAGATTTATTTAGATCAACACCCATATATTGAAACAAGAAATGCTTTTGTGTTTTGTATTGGGCTCCTGGTGTCATGGTAATACACATGCAGATGTGATCTTGTTGTGTTGTAATCTTTTGTGCCAAGCAGATAATGTTTGGGTATCTTTCGTTTGAGATACCAGATATCAATCAGATGTCAACAGTCAATAGATAGTGTCAAAACAGTGAGGTCAGTTGAGGTTAAGGTTTATGTGGGTGGCTACAAATATAAAACATATTACTCTTTTTCCGCTTCTACCCTGCAGATCTCGTCCATGCAGAGCCAGATCCGCTCTCAGGAGACCGACCTCCGGAGCCAGGAGGATGAGCTGAGCCGCACCAAGGCGGACCTGAGCCGGCTGCAGGAGGAGGAGGCCCAGCTGGAGCAGAGCCTGCTCTCTGGTCGTGTTCAGTTGGACAGCATCATTAAGTCGCTCAAAACCACTCAGGAAGAGATCAACCAGGTCAGTGCAGGCAGATTAATAAGCCAATAAGCTTTCTGATAAACTCAGTACTGTATGGCATTATTGATTGAATGATTTTTAAGTTGACACAAATTAAGCTCTAGATATCCAATCATAAAACTGCCTTCCCTGTGCAGGTGGGAGTGTTTTGTGTTGCTGGTGATGGTATTTATAACACAGCAAACTCACTTTTAGAACCGGTAGTTTTACTTTTACCTCCATGACCTTTCTGCTAATGTATATAGCAAGCTCTGAGCCACACAAGTTTGAATCACACTGAAGTGAAACTGTCGTATCATAGTGGTTAAGGTTAAGGGTTTTTTTTTATCAGCTAAACCACTAACCACTACTTACATAATTAGTGAAGGTAAATCTATGACAGATAAGAATTTTGCTAAATACATTACTATTCTGGCAATAATGTGCCAATTCTGTGTTTGCTTTGAAAATCATTTTATTCAAAAATATATTATAGTGGCAAGTTAGTGACGCCCATGGTGACACATTTGTAGGTGGGAGATTTTTCATCATTGAACAGATTTTCCATCATTGAACAGCTTTGAAACCTGTTATGAAGAGACCAATAGAGACCGAAGAGATTTATATACATTATTGAATCTCTTGTATGTCTTTTATGTGCTTTTAGGCTCGGAGTAAGCTGTCGTTGATCCAGGATAGCCAAAAGGAGATGACCAAAACCATTGAGCAATACAACAGCGCTTTGAGCGACATCAATGGAGGAAACTTAAGCAATCTGCCGGACTTGAGTGAAGGTTTTGCTGAGAAGGAGAACGGCGGTTTCAGAAGTGCGGTGAGGAGATCGTGAATATATGACAATGACAATTAAACCTAGAACCCATAAACTTTATTTGGTTTTCTAATAATCCTGGTTCAGATTTTGATTCCTAACCCCTAAAATGAAGAAAAAAGAAAATAAAGAAACTGCTTAAACCTCTCCATCTCAGTAGTCACACTTATCATATCACCTACTCCTAATTTGCGTTGTTTCAGATGAATGCAAAGGCAAATATGGTGAAACCCGTTTGTTACAAATTATCCTTATGCCATACCACATTTGTTTCACTCTCTTTAGAAAGTGAACATGCTCTTTTTATAGCTGTCTCATTGTTTTCTACTGTAACATAGTTACCATTTAAAGAAGGTCTGTTTTTTCTGTATTCATTCATCAGGATGATTCTTTCAAGTCAAAGATAGCCATGTTCAACAACAGCAGTGCTAAAGAGTCTCTAGCAGACCCCTTCCAGACAGAGGACCCCTTCAAGTCCGACCCCTTCAAAGGTCTGAATACCTTCTTGCATCTTTTTATCATTTACTTTACAATGTTATTCTTTGCTCTGCCAGCTGTTGCTTGCTTGGTAATTACCTGCACTAATTCTGTGCCCCTGTGAATAAGCATTTCCTCTAAATCTGAAACCTGAAATATACCTACATTAAAGATGCCAGCTTTAATGAAATGGAATGGATGATTGTTGTATAGTTTTTCTAGCCTGTTGTCTAAGATTATTTCTTTTTAGAGGCCGGAGATGATTGAAGTCCATACCCCTAGCCATGCTGTCTTTTCACTTTCTTATCCTTTTTCTAGATCCATTTGGAGATCCTTTCAAAGAAAGCGACCCCTTCAAAGGCACCTCACCTGAAGATTTTTTTAAGAAAACAGACAAGACAGACCTGTTTGGATCCTCAGACCCCTTCGGTAGAAAACCCACACTGCCAGCCAAGGTATCGCACACTTCTTCTCTTTACCACTCAAATGTTTGTTGGAAGTACTGATAATTGTTTTTTTTTTGTAAGCAATACAATACTGTGAGAAAACCAATGTTCTTTTGTCAAAAGTTCAAAATTAGATGGATAACAATAGACAGAAACAAGCTCTGACATTCACTATTGTAGATAACAGGGAAAGCAAACCAGTACTACAAAGAGAGATTTTGTAGTGGTTATGCTGACGTGGTCATTGTCTGTGTGTGTATTTTAAACACAGTCATTTGAATAGCTTTCTTACTGTACTTGTGCTTTGCTTCTTTGTTTTTCTCAGCCAAGTGCCTTCAGCAGTGGTGACCCTTTCTCGTCAAACAGCCCAAAACCAAAGGATACAGGTACGTTGCTGGTCACAAGCATCATAGGGTGTCGGTACATAGAGATTTTTGCCGAAACACTTTTATTTCTAGACTTCTCATCTTTTTTGCAAATAGTCATAAGGTTTATCAGTTTAGCCAATTATTGTTTTTATTTGTTCTTTTCAGTCATGTTGTAGATGTAGAGGGTATATTTTCCTCTCTTATTGCACTGCTGTAGAAATGATCAGTGTCAGTTTTCTATTTATTTATTTTTTTTACAGATGTTTACTTGTTTTTGATTTATTCTATACTATAATTGTGACCTCGTTTTTGCTGTTGTTGTGGAGTATCTTTCTAACCATCTATCTATCTATATACCTTCTTTGTTTTATTGTGCTTTGACTTATCACCATTCGTGACTCGAAAATGAAATAAGCGCAGTCATCCCTGTGCTAAATACGTGCAGATTTCCCAGAATATGACTATTAACTGAACGTTCTAGTTGTGAAACACATCTCAAAGAGTCATTCTTTGCCATTCTGGGTGACGTGTTAGATTTAGGTTTTATTTTTGGGGGCAATAGGGGCAAACAATTTTTACTCACTGTGGCTTCAATTTTTCCTGTGGTTTAGGGCTATTTTTAGTCGAGTACCTACGCATTTAACTACTGGCCAACTAAAAATACTCCCCCCTACCCTGGAAAAACAGGAGGCTTGCAAGAGCCAAACATAACAGAAACTCTGTTACTGCTGGTCCTGCTCTAGTAGAATACACTGCCACTCCTTTAACCAGTTCTCTGCTGCTTCTGTCCTGTCTTTATATCTGCAGCCATTGAACTGTTCTGCCTCATTCGGTACGGAAGTTGTTTTAAGTTAGTGGCCACCTCTGGTCGATGCTCTCCCATGCTACACACCTTCAGGGGAACACAGAGGCAACTGTAGGCCTGAGCTGAGTTACTGTGCGTAAAAGAAAACACTACGTACTTCACATGAATGGGGTCTCTTGTGGTTGCACTCTTACAACAAACATATTCTATTACAATGTTTTGTTTTTTCACTGTAACCATCTGCAGTTTGCTGTTTTTTTCATTAGACGGCATACCACTGAGCTTCAAAACAACCCGGGCACAGTTCTGGTTAACAGTATGCCAACTAACGCCTTTAATTAGCTGATCAGATGCATACGTCAGGTTAAACAAAACCTCTGCTTTCTAGGTTTTTTGCGAAATGTCATGGAAAATTAAATGGTCATGCCACATTCCCCTCTCTGAAAATAGCACGCAGGCCCTTTCAGAAAGTGCAAGATGCAGAGATGAATGTGTGGTTTGGGGCTGAACTTCATTATAGTTTCTGGCTCTTTCCATAAACATATTCAAATGTTCCAAATGCATTTCAATGTACTCTTGTCACAGATGTGTTTGGGACAGCGGACCCCTTTGGAAGCAACTCTTTTGGAAGCAAGGGGGGTGGATTTGCCGACTTCAGTCAGATGTCAAAGGTACGCTCTGGAGACTCGGAGTTATGAATCAGTTGCACCATAAAGCATCATTTTCCACTTAAGCTGTAGAAAGCTTTGTTGTTATTTTTACTCTCATCATTAGTTATTTCTTTATTTTTCTGCCAATTTATCACATTTATGAAAACAGTCTCTCTGGTTTGAGGCCAGAAGCTTTTTGGCTGACATTTCTGTTGGAGTCATCATTTTGTGTGATAGTTGAAGGATTTTTTTTGTCTTTTCCCTTGTGTGTGAACAGAAGTCGGACAACCCTGTGCTCCCATCAAAGAAAAATGTGCCTAACCGGCCTGCACCTCCATATGGTAATCCCTGACTTTATATATTTATATGTGTGTGTGTGTGTGTGTGTGAGTGAGTGTGTGCACGCTTGAACGTGACTGTACTTGAAGCTTAACTTGACATTAATGGTTCAGTGAGTGATTTTCGTGATAAGCATGTAATGTTGGTGTAAAACCAGTTTAAAATCAATAGTATTTATCATGCCAATGTTATTGCAAATGTCACAGAAATGTAATGATACATTTTGCAGTCAATGTGACTGACATCTGTGCCCTGATAACGTGGAAAAAAACTACTTCCCTGTTGAGCTGTGAGGGTGCAGAGAAAGTAATTTCTTCTTTTGAGGTTGTAAACAGGAAAGCTGTTGGTAGAGGTACAGCAGAATAAAAGGTTTAGAGTGCTATGCCTTTTGGATGCATTTAACCTCATGTTCATCTTGTTTTGTGTGTATGTTCACACGGCAACCTATCACCCACAGGCCATGCCCAACATGTGCCCTTCCGCTGTGACCTTGCAGTTATTCTTTTAGCAGAAGCCACAGCGTGAGAAAGTTGGTCTTCCCCTTTGCTTTACCACACAGTGAGGTGTAGAGATGGGTGGCTACTGTTAGCCGGTGAGCTAGCTCCTGAGTTGTGCCTCATACATAATGAGGAAGTGAGAAGCCCACTCTTCAAAGTCATGAGCTGCTCTGAATGTCTGCATCCCAGAGACAACGGACCTTTTTCACAGCTGCCATTTTGACATAAAATAGTATGGTAATCATACTTCGTACCAATGGTATTAATTAAGATTCTGTTCCATTTAGTGAGTATTTTAGTGACTGACTTTCCAGTGAGCCATGCCGACATGCAAAATAGCAGAACCCTGACTCTGCTTGACCTGAACCTTAATTAGTATCACTGGTAAAACCTGCGTTGAGTAAAATGGCCGCTGTGAAAAGGGTCCAGTTAGAAGGTGTAATCTAGCTTTTTACTCACATGCTGTGTCGCAGCAACTTTTCAGGCATTTGTAAACAAGTTTAACACATAAGTTGGTGTTTTTAAAAGAGCAATATTTAGACCCACTATATTTAAAATTGGAATTGCTACTGTTTTTTTTTTTTCTTTTTTTGATAGAGGCGTTTGCTAGAAACCCCGCAATTTGCAGATGCTGCTAGTGTGGCGTTGGTGTTCGAGAGATGAATAATCATGGCCACATAATACCATCAAAATAGGAAATGTGTTCAAAGCTTACTGTAGACAAGGGCGTGTCTTTCTTTTTTACAATTGTGTGTTCCAAAAAAGCCACACTTTGCTTGTTAAGCTTCAATGCATCAGTGAGCCTTACTCAAAAAATGTGGTTAACACCTTTTTTGAACCAATATCCCTTTCCCCTGGGTAACTACTTTGCAAGCCAGCTTTAAGCTGTTGGCTTCCTGTGAAAATTTAGCAACACAATATTACACATTAGCCTATAGCATATTTTCCCACGGGGCTAATAGTTGTTAACAACTTAAGTGAAGGCACTAAAGTGTGTTATCTTACATGGATTTAGTATTTATTTAAACGTCTTCCTTCTCCAATAGGTATGCTCAGTTTGACTGCATCAGAGCCGTTCCAGAACGTTTGCTCCACAGCAGACAGTAAAGACTCTTTTGTTGTGACACACTCGAGTAAAACATCCAAAGAGTGCCCTGTGGGTTTTGCAGATTTTGGTTTTGTAAGTGTAGTGTGCGTACAGTTTTCTATTGGGTCAATTGCCTTTGTCTGCATGATCTCATGATCTCAGTCTTCAGATTGTAGAGCTGAAGGCTTGAAGGTGTCGGCTCTCTTTCACAGGGCCTCATTCTGTTAACTTTTCCTCACACCGTGACTTCAGCAGAACTGGCATGCTTACTGGCTGTTGACTAACAACTGACAGAACAGCTTAGAACTTTTTAAGGGCTTGATGTGGATGGAAATAAAGTGTTTCCATGCCTGAATAGGACAGTCCCCATACATGTGTCTATCTTTGTCGATTGCTGCCTCCACCTGCCTTGTTAGGGGACTTTTGCATGCTTTCTGTTGTCTCTATCTTCAGCCTTTAAAGAAAGTCAGGATTTATACACTTTTAGTCAGCGAGTTGGTGAACTTGCCTGGTCAGGTAGCACTCGAGGAGCATTTTTCAAGTCTTGAAGTACAAGTTGAAGGCTTATTTGCTGTCAAAGCATGATATGCCTCTAAGCAAAGCACAACAGAGTAAATCTTCCTCTTTGTCCTCCGTCTTCCACTTCTTTGCCATCGTGTATAGACTAACGGCTGAGCGTGCTCTCAAGTGGAGAAATGATGCATGGCAGCTTTTTGTGTCTGGTTTGTAGCATTTGACATGACATGAATTTAATTTATCCTTCATGCCAGCATGACACTTATGAATGGGATCGGACTTTTTTTCATATGGAGCTCTGTATTGTAATTTTTGTTTTTCTGCCAGGATCTGAATATTTCAAGGTAAGACCGTACTAGGGTGTGGTGGTCAATCCTTTGCATGTAAAAAACCTGTCCGCACTGCATAATCTCAGTAGGGTGATTCATGAGCACGATTATTCTCAATAAATAATCCTAGTCACATTGATCCAAGCACTGGATGTTTACAGGAAATATATATCACTGTGTAATTTGTAGGAATCTTTTTAGTTTTAGTTTTGCTTTGGCTTTTTTTGTGACGTCCAAGTGATATCTAAATGTCTATTTTTTGCATTTGTTTTTTTCATATTACGCTAGTAATGTTTGACGTAGTTCTTGAGGCTCTTTCTAATTAGAAACATTTGATTTTCGATTTGCATCCACCGTTAGTTTTACATCTTGCTTTCGCCCAGTGACTTCTCTCTATTTGTGTGTATATTTCAGCCTGTGTCTCGGTGTTTTTGTCCACATTTAATGTTTGTTTCTCTGCTTTAGTTTGGAAGTGAGAACCAGCAGCTGGACTGGGCCAAGAGGGAAAGCGAGCGTGAGGAGCAGGAGAGGCTAAGGAGGTTGCGGCTCCAGGAGCAACAGGACCTGGAGCTGGCCATCGCTCTCAGCAGGGCCAACATGCCCAGCTCCTGACCAGGCATGCCCCACCACAGCTTTTAGTCCTCCATCTTCTGTCTTACAGTCCTCCATCCGTCCGCAGGCTCATGACAACAGCACTGACACTGGCCTGACATGACTAGCAGCCCCTGTTACCAATTTGTGTAAGAGACCAGTGATTCTCCAACCATGACTGGACTCATGTCAAATGACTCCACATTTAGCAACCAGTTAAGGTTCATTGCTCCCAAACTACATGGCAACTATAATCAAGGACAATACGGAGCCACTTGATTTAAGCCTGGCTTCATCCTGCAGGAACATAACGATTTAACGCAACCCGAACCAGCAGGGTACCCGACTACAACCTATATCTTTCTAGATATCTCGTTATGGCTAATCACCCTGACTTATCCAAAAACCTTTCTGTTGCAAGAAAATAATAACCTTTTAACTTTATTTTACTGTTTTATTTATATTCAAAAGTAATGACTATTGGGTGTATGAATTACTTGTAAGATGCGCTGTATAAACAGTTTTATATACCTTTAACTACTCAAAAAAAAAATCATTGAAAGTCAAACCATATACGCTAACTACTCTGTTGGCTTATGATTGAGTTTGTCCAATTTCAAATGTTTTTTGGGTTTTGTGAAGAAACTCCTTCATGTACTGTAAATATTATTAGATTTTGGTTTTATGTACAAGCCGTAGTAAAAAAAAACCTAAAGGACGAGCTAAGTGATCAGATCATCATGGCATGATTTAAATTTTTATTTCAAATGTTACAAGTGTTTCATGCCATTTATGCCTGCGTATTGATTATTTATGGCCTTAAAGTACATGGAGTGATATATATATATATATATATATACATATTTCAATATAATAAAATCCTCAACAGGGTTATACATGTCAAAGTAGAAATGTGATGTTTTGGGAATCCCTCATAAGCATTTTAGTTCTAACATTGGTTAAATGTGATTCAGCCCCAAATCGTCAGTCGCCTCTTATATTTACAATAATTAAGATGCTAGCGATAATCACTGAGTTCTTCCTTCCTTATAAACAAGGATCAGTCGACCTGGAGCGCTGTTGCACCATCCCGCTGATGTCAACAGCTTGTGTTTGTCAGATGGTTTATCATTGGTTGCCTTGTTGTAACGCCCAAACAACAACTTGCACTCCCATACAACTAAAAGCCTCTATAAAATGGAAATAGTGTGAACCTACATTGTTTATACTGGTGCTGTTACACATAGCTTTGTTCTTTTTACCTCTTCACACTACCACTGATACACGTGACATCTGCTTCTAATTTTTTACATTTTTCTCAACACTCAAATCAACCATTGGATCTCTTTATTTGTCTGTGGACTTTCTTTTTTTCCTGTTCATTAATGTCTCACGATTCAGTTGGAGGACATTTGTTAAAAATGCCTTGAAATATTGCATCATTGTAATTATCTAACACTAATCAGGTTTATTCGGCACATAATGTATGCACTGTATATTCCAGAGCTTACTGGACATATACAGAGTGACAGCGCCTTATTTATCAACATATCAGCATTGTAACATGTAATATTGCACAGTATGTATGTGATTATAAAAAAGTTGCTCAAAACCGTAATGACTTTTAATTGAATAAAAGTGATTTTTAACATTCTGTGAACAAGGTAAGTCTTGTCTTTTTAATAAAATGTAACAACAACTGCAGAAAGAAGTGAGCCAGCTACTTGTCACAGCATGTCATGAATAGTTCAATTGTAAAATAAATGTATCAGCGATGAATATAGAAGTTGCATATGTTGGCCCAGCATTGTACAGAGATGACGTGTTGTGAAGGAAGGACATTGGTCAACTCTATTCTTAGGTCTTACTCTCATACTTAAAAAAAGTAATAGTACAGTACAGCACAGTGTTCCACTAAAATGGATCTAATATAGATTGTTTACATCTTGTAGTTCTGCATTGATATTGGAACAAAAAAAGTGAAATGAGAGTGGTACATTTGCATCTACCACTGAAGATATTTTTTACCCAGTATGTACTTCCTCTTTTTTAAATATGATAAATTCTAGTAAAGTGTTGATCAACACATCTCACATTTGGCGTGTGCATTTGATTGCTAATGGTGAAGATAAAGATAACTGGAACTGTGACCACTTTTGACGAGAGGTGTGGTTTTATGAAAAGTATATTTTTAAAATTTCAAAATGCAACAGAAAGAAGAGTGTTGTGTCGATCGCCAACCATGTATTTGAAATAAAATGTTTAATATTGATCTACTTTTATAAATGCCATCTGGCTTTTATATATCAACTCAATGCATGCCTTTGATGCGGAAGAAACAAATGCTTACTGACACCATGCAGACATGATCTGCACGGACTGGGATACTTTGAAACTATAGTGCAGAGTGACTGTGTGTAATTGTAGTATTAAGGCCCTTTGATGTCCTACTATAATTTCTACCCATCAGAAAGGGAGTCTAAGGGCTCCCTGATGAGGGTTTGCTGTGCCCCTCTGTCCAGACGGCTCCCGGCTCACTCTGTAATTATGGAAATGGAGTGTTTGTATTTATAGGCTAAGCCCACAAGCGGCTGCCCTTCTCTGTCTTGCAGCTGCAAAACATCACAGTGGAAATCAAGTGCCCATGTTTTAAATTAAAATGGGTATACAATGGCAACATGTATAACCTGTTTAGTGTAACTGAGCTGATGGTCTGCAGGTTTGCTGCACCTACTTGGACTGGTTATAAGAACAGTATGAAACCTGTCATTGAGTGGATATGGTTCATTAAACTAAATGTGTGAACAAGATGTACCTGGAACGAGTAAGCATGCATGAAAAGCAAAGAGTTCAGCAGTCAAATATCCAGTTTCATTGTTTTTAATATTTACAATAAATACATTTTACAGTATAAAATCCATGTACATATTTATATAAATTTAAGTGAAAATAATGCACAGGACATCAAGCCCTGAGAGTGAACAGAGGGGGCTGGATCGGAGAGTTTCACACGCAAGAAGGCACAACATCCAAATAGTAGAAAGCAATAAAATAAAACAGTTCAGGCCTTTCAGACGTTGAGGCAGTTTAAATAAAACATTGTCTTTGCACATGTTAGGCAACTGCATGTGCATGTCACTCCTGTCAACAAGATCATGTACTATTTTGTGGCCATGTCGTTCTGTCATGAATAGTTTTACAGTAGCACAGTCATAGAAAGGCACTTTTGTGTCAAACACAGCATTCCAGTTCTGTCAAAGAAGAGTAGTATATACAGGGCCAGCCCTTTCTTGGTCTGCCTGCTCTAAAGCAAACAAAGCTTTTCCAAAGCTTTTATAGAACCAAAGTAGTACCAGCTACGTAATAACAGTAAAACTTCTTAATTCAATATTATATAAAAAGGCTTTGGTCATGTGGAGAACAATTTAAATAAAAAATACATCAGTTGAATCACAATAAAAATAACACAACCCACCGCCCCATGAACCCTAAGTCCTTATGTGGGCTCCTTCACATATGTCTCTTCATGTGAAGGGCCAGGTGGTCAGACCTAGAGAAGGCGCGTTCACACAGGTGGCACTGGAAGGGCCTGTGTCCTGTGTGTTTGCGGAAATGACGGGTCAGCTCATCGGAACGGGCAAATTTCCATCCACAACCTTCCCAGCTGCAGTGGTACGGCTTCTCACCTGCGAGGACAGAGAAATGAGAGATTATTAGGCTGTGTTCTGAAAGGGGAATCATGGTTTTGAGCTGTGTGTCCGTGCGTAATTGTGCACAGAAGCAGTCTTATTTATCATGATGTATGTGGGCTCAAACTTACCGGTGTGAGTTCGGAGATGTGCCTTCAGATGTGAACTCTTGGTGTAGGTTTTTCCGCAGCCAGCAAAGGTGCAGGTGTGCGTGGCAGTGCGCTTCCGCGGCCATGTGCGCCGTCCCCTCTTGGGTTTGGACTCCAGCAACTCGAGGGGAGATGAGGGCGGTGTGAGCATCACCCTCTGCGCGCCCGGCTGTAGGTTGAGACCTTCATCGTACATGCCAAAGGCAGTGTGCGGAGCGTGGTAGGACATCTGCATCTGCGGAGCCTGAGGGTGGTGCGGGAAAGCCGCCTGTGCGTGATACTTCTGTGAGAAGTTCATGGGCTGGCACAGCTGTGCCTGGCAGTCCGAAGCTCCCTGGTCATCGGGACTTAGAGGTGGGGTCATGTTGCTGGCTGAACGCGGGGAGATGGCCACCCGGGGCTGCTCGAAGGACATCATGCACGAAACGTTTCCTTCTTGCTTGATTTTGCTGCAGCTTTGGGGCACCATGCCCAACACGGGGCCATAACCGTCCATGGGTGGCTCCACTTTGATGTTGTCCTGGCGGGGAAAATGAACCGTGTTGACATAAAATCTCCCCTGAACGCCGGGGTTGCGCGTAATGCCATAGTTGTTGGATCCTTCGGTGCGGAGCAGCTCCGTCATGAGGCTGGCGCCATACGGGGGCGGCGGGGAGCGGTGGTCGTCTGCTGGGTAGGATGGCACCGAGTTTCCTGTCGTGTACATGCCGTGGTCAACTGTGCCCACAAATTCCGCCGCGCTGTCTGAGCCAGTTGTGTTGGCGAGAATAAAATCCAGATCCAAATAATTACTCAGATCCTCGTCGTCCTTTTTGCTGTGATTGTCCAGGTTTTGTACCATTTCAAGCATGGAGCAGCTGCTGGAGACAAGTTTGTCCATATCTCCTTTCCACCTCTGAAAGAATAAATAAAAAATAATTAGATATGATAAGAACAATGTTACTGTAAAATAAAGTATTGAGAGATTGCAGATGATATCCAACTAGACAATTAATTACTGAATTACTTGTAACTACTCGTATTTTCTTTAAATAAAACAAATGCAAATATTTGTCTTGTTTTTCTAAAGCAAATAAATGTGTTCTTGCAGTTTTCCAAGATATTAATATTACCATCACGATGAAAAGAGCTGAAACAAAGTGATCTAAATCAAATCAACTCCAGAGACTTTAAAACAAAATAAAGATAACTTTTTCAACTTACGTTTTCCCAGGTTTTTTCCCTTTGGTTTGAGAATGTCGAAAAAGAGGGTAGCATCACTCCGGATAAGGCCATCGTTTGGTGAAATAATAACTATCTCTTGTCAAAGTCGCGTCGTGTTGAGCGGCAGCCGCACCACAGTCTGTGCGTCTATCTCTCTGTCACCTCTCCACAGCTGCGCCCGAAAGACATGAACAAGTTTAAAAGTGGTAGGAGGTCCTCCGAACCTTATAACTCTCTAACCAGAGTGCGCCTGGCCAATTGTGAGAGCTCAGGAAATGCGTAAAGTTTGGTAAATTTAGCGCTTTATAAAGAGGCTATGTGAGGCAGCGAGTTCAGTGCGCTGTGTGACAGGCAGGGCAGCGCAGAGGAGCCTATAAAGCGCAGGACCTCCCCCACAGGCTGACGCAAACACTCGCAGACCAGCCCACCTGAGCTTGGCCTAGAGTTGGAAAAAAGTTGCTGGCAGATTACAAACACAGGGACAATATAGCAACCATAAATACTTACGTAATATGCTGAAAAGAACAAGCCTAATGACAGAAAGCGCCTGAGGCCAAGCCCCACCAACAACTTAATATAAAGGCTGTCAGTAGTTCAGTTAATCATCACGACACAAAAGGAGATATGGCTTTTTTGATGAACAATAATAAAAATATAATTAGATTCAAAGTAGCGGGTTAAAACTCTGGAGGGAAGGACACTATGAAATGTTCTTTAATAAAAAGGCAGTTGAGATTATGGCACAGGAATAAAGCACTGGGCACAGAAATATGAATTTATATGTTGGATGTGTTTTCTTTGTTAACTTCTATGTGATTGCATCATTTACTTTTACTCTCAAAATAACATTTCTGTCAATGTTTTCTTTGTTTTATCTCCATTATAATGCCAAATCCCCCTCCAGCCCCTCAAATTCAGACTCTTTAAATGTTTTGTATATTCAAGTTTAAAATAATGCAATGAGCTGTATATGCAGATAAAGATATTCTCTGCTGTGTGTGTGTATGTGTGTGTGTGTGTGTGTGTGTCTGTGCTACTGCTGCCTCCACCTGTTTGGCGCGTCTGACTCTCGGCTCATTATCATTAATGGAGGATTGGTTTTTGTTCTGGCACAGCAGGCTTGTCCAAACAGGCGCCAGGCTCGTCTGAAACGGTTTTCACGGCTTTTTAACGCTCTAACCACTAGTGATGTAGGCTAAACATGATTTGAGGTAACGTCCCATTCAGGTGTAAATGACTGACGAGGGGGCTGCAGTGTCGATTGGAGTCACATTTACATCACAACTCCTGCCTGCTTGTTGCTGTTACTACTGAGGGATCTGGTTTCTGACGTGAAGACAGTATTATTGTTTTCTCAGCAGGAATCTCTGGCTCCAGGTGTCATTAGGTCAACTCTGCACTTTGTGTCAGTTTTAAATGCTTAAATGGCACCCCAATAGAAGAAAGGTGTACACATGTTTTGCACTTATTTCATTTTGATTAAATCTCACAATCATCTGCAGTGATGTGGGACGTATTCAGGGTGTTTACTAAAGTAAAATTAGTAGTAAAAGTATTTAATTCAAAATTTCACCTGCATTAAGTAGGCTATTATAATCGAACTGGGCTGAGTA